CCCCTACCCCCACCCCCACCCCAGACAGCCGGTTCTCAGGTTTCCCTGCTTGCTTGCCTACCTCAATGAGGGAAAGCAAAGCATTTTGTCTCTGCGTGCTCTGGTTACTCTCACTTGGGACACCACAGCTCTCTGCAACATGGAGCCAGAGCTGCCCCTGGGCACTAAGCCCAGTGCTTCTCGTGGACGCATTGCTGAGAGCCTGGCTGCACCTTCTACAGGCTGTCATCCAGGAGGTCAATCGGGGCTGTCAGTATCCAGGAGGCCCTGCGGGAGAGTTTCCACCCTGAGGATCATTAACAGCCTCCCCGGTCTGCCCCACTGGGGGCTTGTGCTTCATTCCTCCCCTACATTGTTCCACTTCCCCTCTCAGCCCTAACGGGGAGGGGGGGGGGGAGAAGAAACTCTGGTGAGACTAGGGAAAGGAGGTGGGAGAAGGGAAGAGAGAGGGGAGAAGGAAACCTGGGAGAAGGGAGCTGGAAGGGGGAAGCAAGGGGAAGAGGGGGGAGGAGAAGCTCAGGGTTGGGGGTCTCGCCAGACTACCTTGATTTTCATGCAAACCTGCTCCTGGATTTGCATGTGGCCTTTGGTGGCCAGGCTGGCAGCTATCCTGCCATAGACGGCCGCGTTCCTCCATCTAGTGCGGAGATCGTGGACGTTGGGAACATGCCCCCACAAACCTGAACAAGGTCCATGATCTCCACCCTGGACCAGGAAGGCGCCCACAGGCTCCAGGCCCTGGAAGGCTCCTGGGAGCTGGCAGACTGCTCCTGGGGAGCAGTGGAGGGCAGACTGCCAGTGGCTTGCTGGCTCATGTTTTGGGTCTAGTCTGGCAGGCCTGGAGCTGGCACAGGCCCTGTGGTCAGAGTCAACCCCTTTAAGGGCTCCGGGGAGGGGGGAGGGAGAGGAGTGTTCTTGGTTGAGGCTGGAGTGGCCACCAGGGCTCCCTGGGAAGGCTGGAGGCCCCTATTTCGATATAAGTGTCTACACAGCACTTATTTTGAAATTGCTATTTCGAATTTGGCATTATTCCTCATTGAATGAGGTTTAACAAATTCAAAATAAGACCTCTGCTATTTCAAATTAATTTCGAAATAGTGGTTTGGCTGTGTAGACATACCTTCAGTGAACTTGATATGATTCATTTCAGTTTCATTGCTTCCCATCGCTAAATAGTAAGACTAAAATATGAACAGACTGCCAAGCAGACAGCCCCAACTCAAAGCCACAGTTTGAGCCACGACCTCCAATACTGTTAGGCTATACAGAGTGAAGCAGAAATGTTGGAAGCCAGGGACCCTAAAAACCTGGAGTCCTTGGCCCAGAAGTAGACTGAATGGTGGATCTAGATCAGTTTCATTGGAACGCTAGCAGCCAGGGTACCACTGGAAAAATCCCTGTGGCTGAGTGAAAGTTAGCTGAACCGGATTCATTTCTCAAGAAACTTTGAATTTGACAAACTGGCATTTTCTCATTAAGCTGTTTAGTCTGAAAATTTCTATTTAGCTCTACTCTACAGTACATATTTTTCACACCTTATAAATCCATTAGTAAAATATTTATTAAATTCAATAAACATTTTATATTTATTTTTTATTAATATGTTTTTGTGGAAAACTAAGGATGTTAAAGTAATTCACTAATTATTAAATAGTCAATGCATTTTGCATTGACTAATTGATTAGTCAATAAGGCGCCTCCACCTCTGAAGTGTAGCAGCATCTCTTGCTGTTGCTACACTTCAAAGGTAAAAGCACCACATGGAGCCCGGGCTCCATGCAGCACTGATACTTTGAAACGCCGCAGGGAGCCCGGGGACACCCCAGATGGCCCTGGATTGCAGGCGGTGTTTAGAAGTGGCAGCGCTGCATGGAGCCCAGAGTCCACACAGCCCTGCCACTTAGAAGTATCCCTGCCTCTTCCCCCCTTCCTTGCTTCTTCTTTCTGATAGAGGAAGCAAGTAGGTAGAGGGGCAGCGACTAGTGGACAGGCTATCTGATAAGCATTTGCTTATCAGATAGTCAACTGGTCCTTCACATCCCTATGGAAAACTGGGAAACTTCTGACTTATTTTTAGTGAAGAATGCGGGACTCGATTCTCCCCCCTGCCCTTTGTATTGTTATCCATCCCTTTAAATGAGATGTGAAACCTTGGAAACATGGAAAACTTCAAAGACCATTATACTGAGATATGATGGGCACATAATATCCAGAGACCTTTATATTATTAAGTGTTGTGTGTTTGTCTTATATTCCCAGTTCCCTGGACGTGTTTCCTATGGCATATGTAATCACAGGTATAGCAGGTTGATTAATGAAGTGTCAAGTACCAGGTATAAAGATTGAGTATCTACTTCAAAGCTTTGCCCACTAGGGAGCAGGTATTGACTAGTTATACCTATTTCATGAGCCCTCAAGAACAAGCCCTTAGATTGTAATAAAGTGGTAGCCTGAACAGATTCAGAGATACCTCAACCCACAATCTCACATGAGACAGTAACCAAGAGGGCAAAACCCTGCTGGAATGGTTTGAAGGACTCTGAAAACGTACTGGGGTTGCCACACAGAGGATGGTTTACATCTGATAGTCTATGTGAATAGTAAACTTTATTATTTTATTACATGTTTCCTCTATAATGCTTGTGTCCTAAAAACTGTCTGGTAAATGCTGTCTCAGCATCTGGAAAAGAGCAATATTGCAGTCACTGGACTCAAGTCAGACCTGGGATAAGCACAGTGAATTGCCAGGGGGCTGCAACCCTAATATTCTGATCTGGAAGGAAAAGAATAACTGATTCCTGCCTTAAGCCCTCTACCTGTCACTTCTTTATGATGTAAAGTGATGCCCTTGAAGGGACCACAAAGGTAGCCGAGCTGTAGGTAATTCCAAAACTGAGACAGCTCTTACAGACTAATACTTCTGAATGAAAAAAATGCAGCAAAATTTCTTTTCAAATTATTTTAATCTGAATTCTTATTTAGTAATCAGCAATTGCAGAATGTCTCACAAGAAAGCAAGAGACCATATTAATTTAAGGTCACTTAATGTCCTTGAGTCTAGCAGAAACTATTATTGAATAAAACAATGGAGATTCCATATACATTTGAGGGTCGAATTCACAATTAACTATTACCTCCACATAGCTGGGATCAGATGCATTCTGAATTACTTCATAAAGCTCTGCACCATCTTCCAAAATACGAATCTGCTCTCTGGTGAGTGTGTGTGATCTCAGTGCTCTTTTGTGAGGTTTATCTGTTTAAAAACATGTTAACATTATACCCAACTGACACAATCTTAAAACAAAGCAAAAGTGTATCTGAATAAAAATACCAGGCTGAGTTCTATACAAGAATTCACTTTTTTAGTGATACATGTTTCAGAAAGCCTACTATACTTTTAACTTAGATTTCACACAGTAGAATGTGGTGTAAAATAACTGAAGAATCACCGGAGGCAGAGATAGAAAATATCTATTAAAAAGGAAAGTTGTTTTTGTTATAGAAGAGAAATAAAATATTATTTGAAGTTGGGTGGCTGAACTACTTAACTTTTATATTTTAATGGCACGTGACTATATGCCAGCAGGTTGATTCAAGACAAGTCAGGACCTCTTTGTGCATGGTAATGAGAGGGGGAAAAGGGGCAGACATATAATAATCTTATGATTACTATAGGAGCTGCGAAGCAACATTCTAGGAATAATGAGATGTAACAATTTTATGGATGCTATATGGGACCTGGTCACTGAAGGGAAGTTGTAATTGCCAATATACAAGACAATGTCATACTTCCAGGCCGCCAAAGTGACACAGGTGATTTGCTAGGCCAGAAACTAAAGATGAAAAGAAGAGTAAACAATTAAAAACAGCTTCTCAGAAATACAAGAAGGGATCAGTTGTCAGTGAGCTCTGAAAGGAAAACATGCTGTCAACCTCAAATGAGGAGTGTGAAGGAGATGGACCTTCCCAGACTCAGAGAACAGTATATTTATTCTTAGATGCTTTTATTCTAATAAATAATATTTTGCTCGAGTAAAGCTGATTGGTTTCATTATCCCTGCCATTGCTCCCAAAAAGAATTGAAACTGAGCTTAAGTCAGTCTTGCTGAGGTAATCATAGGTAGTTAGCAGGGGATTTCCTACTTCCAGCCCATGTCCTGATTTGTTTTTCTTTTCTCTCTCTCTCTCTCATATGCAACTTCCTGTAGCTCCCATTGGCCAGAAATGGTGATGCAAGGCTAAAGGGAGGCGCAATTGCCTATACCTGCAGAGGCGCAGGTAAACAAAGTGTCTCACGTCCAGCAACCGGCTTGCCATTACAAGCCACAACCCAGAGTGTATCATCCCTGACAGATGTCTGTCTAACCTGCTCTTAAAATTCTCTAATGATAATTCCCTTGCACTTAACCACCCTGACAGAAAGTTTTTTCTAATGTACAACCTAAACCTCCCATGCTACACTTTAAGCCTATTGCAGCGTTTCCCAAACTATGGGCTGTGGCCTAGAATCGGGCCGCGGGAAAAAAATACTGGGTCTCGGTGTGGCTGCTGGAAGGGGAGCGGGGCGGGGCAGGCTGGGAGGAGGTGTGTGTGGGGGGAAACCGGCCGGCAGAAGCAGGGCTGGGGGCAGCGGTGCTGTCCAGCGGAGATTGGGGGGCGGCCGGCTGGCAGAAGCAGGGTTGGGGGCAACAGGGCTGTCTCATGGAGATCGGGGAGGGCACGCGGTGGAAGCAGGGCTGGACGGGAGGTGGGGGGTTTGGACAGGGGAGATAGTGAGGATGATGGGAGAACCAGCCTCCAGAAGCAGGGCTGGATGGGGCAGTGGACTGGCTGGGGGGTGGTGGCTGGATGGGGGAGATTCGTGAGGAGAACGACAGGAGAACCAGCCACTGGAAGCAGGGCTGAATGGGGGTAGCAGGGCTAGCTAGGGAAGATCGGGAGGAGAAGTCCGGGGAGGCACAAAGTGAATTGGCCGGTGGGAAGTGGGACTGACCTCGGCACAAGCAGACCCTCCGGAAGCCGGGCTGGCTGGGGACAGCGGGCTGGCCAGGGGATGGGGCGAGTGTGTGTGGGGGCCGGAAGGGGGGCTGGATGAGGGAAGTTCGTGAGGAGAACGACAGGAGAACCAGCCACTGGAAGCAGGGCTGAATGGGGGTAGCGGGACTGGCCAGGGGAGATCAGGAGGAGAAGTGTGGTGGGGAGCAGCAAATCGGCTTGCAGGAAGCAGGACTGACCCGGGCACATGCAGACCCAGGCAGAAAAGTGAGTCTGGCCCCAGGGATTCCATTTCCCCTCTCCATCCCCCATACCCTCCCTCAAGTAGTTGTGAACTGCCTGGCTGGTAGACACAATCATGCAGCGTGAGCACATCTACCAGCCAGGCAGTTCGAGGCTACAGACTGATACACCTAATAATAATAAAACTTACCTAATTAGAAAACACTGGGTATTTTCTCAATTTGTTTCCGGACAGAACCCTCAAATACCAAACTGTCCAGTACGAAACTGGACAGCTGGCAACCTTACCCCTCCTTGCACCCTCGTTCCTAGCCAGATACCCTACCCCCAATCTGCTCCTGCCTCCTGGAAAGCCCACGCAGCGCTGGGTCCCCCAAGCTGGGCGGAGGATGCAGCTGGATGAAACGCTGAAAATTTATTCATTTTTAATTATTTTTTTATATGTGTTTATATTTTTGGACTGCAAAAAACAGTACTGAAAAAAAAATGGATTCCAACTAAAGTGAAAAGTTTGGGAAACCCTGGTCTAGCCAGCTTTCTCTCCATCTTACAGTCCATTTATCCAATCCATATTCCTTTAACTTGCTGGCAAGAATATTATGGGTGACCGTATCAAAAGCTTTGCTAAAGCTGGCACTGGGGACTTTGGGAGGACCAGAAACAACTTATTTGAATATTCAACATTTGCTTAATGAATATGCAAATGAATGTTACCAGTCCTCAAAAAGCTCATGAATGGATTTACTAGTGCCCATGTCAAAAAGTTTGGGAACCCCTGGCCTATTGCTTCTTGTCCTATCATCAGAGTTTGCAGAGAATAATTTTTCTCCCTCTTTCTTGTAACACCATTTTAGATACTTAAAAGCTGTTATGTCTCCTCTCAGTCTTCTCTTTCCCAGTCTAAATAAATCCAGTTCTTTCAACCTTCCCTCATGTCATATTTTCTAGACCTTTAATCATTTTTGTTACTCTTCTTTGGACTTTCTCCATATTGTCTGCATCTTTCCTGAAATATGGTGCCCAGAACTGGACATAATACTCTAGCAATGGGGGGTTTAGGTGCACCAGCTGCCAGCCCTGCTCCCAGGAAGCTGGCTGCCGCCACACATGGTAAGCTCTGATACAGTGCCAGCAATGCAGGGTGGCACCTGGTTCCCTGGGAGCAAGGCTAGAAGCCAGCATGTAACGGAAACCAACAAACAGATGCTTATCAGTTAACTGTTTAAACGCCTATATCCCTAAAGTTCACACAACACATTCCTGTTACAATGAGAATACCTTCTTTGTCAATGTCTTATGGTTTTTGGAAGACCTGACCTGAAGAAGAGTTATGTGAACTGAAAAGCTTATCTCACTCACCAATAGAAACTGATCACATAAAAAAATCACCTTGGCTACGTCTAGACTGCAAGCCTCTTTCGAAAGGCTTTTTTGAAAGATGCTCTTTTTCAAAAGTATCTAGACTACAATCAGTACTTTTGAAAAAACAAACTGATTTTTCGAAAGAAAGCATCCAGAAAGTCTTGATGCTCTCTTTCGAAAAAGCACAGTTTGCATTACATAGCGCCTTTTTTCAAAAGAGCACTTTTGAAAAAAGGCATTATTCCTCATGAAATGAGGAGTACCGCCGTCGAAAGAAAAGCCACGTTCTTTAAAAAAATAGTGTTTGTAGTCTAGAGGCAGGTGAAGTTTTTTCGAAAAAAGGCTACTTTTTTTCGGAAAAAACCCTGTAGTCTAGACACAACCCCAGTGTGTCTAATATTCTAGGATCAACACAGATACAACTAGTTACCTTCATGCTGTTCAAATTCCATTTGGATTTGTGAAAACAGAGCTTCCAGGTGTTTTTGTCGATTCTCTGCATGCTTTGCAGCTTCCCTTTCTTCAGCTCGACCATTACGGAACACATATGATCCAGTTGGCATCTTTTCCACCCACTGGAATAAGAGTTCACATATACAATTAAGACTTCTTAAAAAGTGCCCTAACCCATTTTTTTACTAATTCTATTCATCCACCAGAAAGGTCAATTTTTTGAGGCTTTTTTCCATTATAATCAATAACAGGCAAAAATTTGTTTTGCCTGGGCTCATAAATTTTCATTTCAATTTTGAAAAACTCCCTTATCCCCTCCGTCTAACTACAATATTTTCAATTTAGGTTAACATCTGACATCACATCTGTTAAGCAAGGTTTAACTCCCCCACAAAAACATCAGTTCTTGAGGGCTGCAATGATTACCATCCAGATGATTTTACAAAAATGGAAAAGTAGTTTTATTCCCAAACTACAGCAGTGATATTCAGATCTGTCAGGATTAGCAGCCAAAAAAAGCTCTTAGGAATAGGTTAGATGAAATGAAAGATATTTAAGACCTTGTTTCTTTAGATATGTTTGAATATAAACAACATGCCGCTCAAAGCATGCAGGCCTCCATTCTGCCTAGCTCCACATCCCTCCCCCCAACTCTCCTTGGCTTTGGTTGACCTTCCTTCCTCCTCATACACTTCTCCTATTTTACTATTTTAATCCCCACCTCTCCTCCAAGTCACAAACCTTCTCCCAGACCTTCTATCCCAATTCCCTAACCGCATTCACAACCCAAATCCTTGCACTCCCTCCTGCACCAGGTCACAACCCTTTCCCAGACTCTGCACCTCCTCCTGCATCCCAGTCTTCTGCCCAGGTCACAACCCCTCCTTCACCCAAACTCCCTCCTGCATCCCCTCCTGCATCTCAATCCCTTACCCCAAGCTTCCATCTGCACCCAATCTCCATCCCAGACCCTGAACCTCCTCCATTAATTTTATGGAAGAATATAGCCCTAAACCATTTACCAAATTCTTGCAGTGCCCTCCCCCCACAAAAAAATTATAAGACATGTGCTTGGCTCTTGCATTATAGAGGAAACAGATAAAATAAGCAGCCTACACACATTCTAAGATTACTGTCTATTATCCATTTTCCCCATGAATACCCTAATAGGTTTACAAAATCTTTCAGGTAGGATTTCACTCTTTTTAAAAGTAGGTTAGATTGTAGTTCAAGAGAAGGAATGAATCAGTTCAGAATGCCCCTTTTCGTATAAAACTTGTTTTTTTTTTGTCTGCTGATCTGTCTTTGTTTTTTCTCCTGAAGCTGAACTGAACCACCATGTGCAATTCCTTCCGTTAAGGATACTTGTCCAGAATTGTGAGCCTTGCCAGGGATTTGCAGTAATTACTTCCCACTGATTTTAGTTGCTGGAGGAAGCGCTGTAACCCTCCTTTCATGAAGTCAGAATGCAGTTCTTAACTCACAGCACTACAATATAGGTTCAAAAGTCCCTGAATGTTCCATGGCCCAAGTGTCTTTCACATGTCAATATTATAGTCTTTTGAAGTTTCCAATCTTTCAGTGTTTCTCATCTGTCACACTATCCCACTGCCAGTAGGATAGGATCTCATTGTGAGAAACTACTGATTCCTGTAAGAGAGAAGAGAGATGTAGAAGACCTGCTTTATTTTCCATGGAGAACTGAGAATCCACTCTGTATCTTGGGGGAAAATGACACATATGGTATTCCTTAGGGAATCATTTCTCTCTCAGCTGGGTCTTCTGTTAAATTTGCCTCGAGGTGGCTGGATGTTGCTAGTCTATTCTCTGTTGGAGCTGCCATTCCTTAAGGGAGGAGCGTCCAGACATGATGGTCTGATTTCACTGGTCTACAATTTTTTAGAAGTCGTCTGCTTCAGAGATAAAATGTGCTATTTATTATGTATTTTGGATGTGCTGAATTCAAATATGACAATTAAAACAACTGATTGGCTACTGTTTCCAAGATATTTAAGTTTTTATATTTTACGTCCATGTATATTGTGTAGATAGTAGAGTTTTAATCATAAATTGTAACCTAGGTCTTTTCATATGTTTATGGTTGCTTTACATGATAATTTCACCTGTCCTGTTTATGTAACACTTTAAAAATCAGCAAAAGGGTTATATAAATAAAATTTATTATGAAACAAAAGGCAAAAAACTATTATGTACATAGTTTAGTCCTATTCAGTGTCTACTCGGCGCTTCTTGGCTTGTCTCTTGTATTCATTAAATGGAGCATCTCTTGTCACTGTCCAGCAATAGTCTGCAAGCATTGATGGGCTCCATTTGCCCTGATAGCGTTTCTCCATTGTTGCAATGTCCTGGTGAAATCGCTCGTTGTGCTCGTCACTCACTGCTCCGCAGTTCGGTGGATAAAAGTCTATATGAGAGTGCAAAAAATGTATCTTTAGTGACATTTTGCATACAAGGCTTTTGTATGCCTTGAGGAGGTTTTCCACCAACCTGTAGTTGTCTGCCTTCTTGTTTCCGAGAAAATTTATTGCCACTAACTGGAAGGCTTTCCATGCCGTCTTTTCCTTGCCACGCAGTGCATGGTCAAATGCATCATCTCGAAGAAGTTCACGAATCTGAGGACCAACAAAGATACCTTCCTTTATCTTAGCTTTACTTAACCTTGGAAATTTTCCACGGAGGTACTTGAAAGCTGCTTCTGTTTTGTCCATGGCCTTGACAAAGTTTTTCATCAGACCCAGCTTGATGTGTAAGGGTGGTAACAAAATCTTCCTTGACTCAACAAGTGGTGGTTGCTGAACACTTTTCCTCCCAGGCTCCAATGACTGTCGGAGTGGCCAATCTATCTTGATATAGTGGGAATCTCTTGCCCGACTATCCTATTCACAGAGAAAACAGCAGTACTTTGTGTATCCAGTCTGCAGACCAAGCAAGAGAGCAACAACATTCAAATCGCCACAAAGCTGCCACTGATGTTGGTCATAGTTTATGCACCTCAAAAGTTGTTTCACATTGTCATAGGTTTCCTTCATATAGACTGCATGACCAACTGGAATTGATGGCAAAACATTGCCATTATGCAGCAAAACAGCTTTAAGACTCATCTTCGATGAATCAATGAACAGTCTCCACTCATCTGGATCGTGAACGATGTTGAGGGCTGCCATCACACCACCGATGTTGTTGCAGGCTACAAGATCACCTTCCATGAAGAAGAATGGGACAAGATCCTTTTGACGGTCACGGAACATGGAAACCCTAACATCACCTGCCAGGAGATTCCACTGCTGTAGTCTGGAGCCCAACAGCTCTGCCTTACTCTTGGGTAGTTCCAAATCCCTGACAAGGTCATTCAGTTCACCTTGTGTTATGAGGTGTGTTTCAGAGGAGGAGGATGGGAGAAAATGTGGGTCCTGTGACAATGATGGTTCAGGACCAGAATTTTTATCCTCTTCCTCGTCTGACTCAAGTGAGAATGATTCTGGTGCATCAGGAACCGGCAGTCCTTCTCTATGGGGTACTGGGCGAATAGCTGATGGAATGTTTAAATAATGCACAGTCCACTTTTTCTTCTTTGACACATCTTTCCCAACTGGAGGCACCATGCAGAAGTAACAATTGCTGGTATGATCTGTTGGCTCTCTCCAAATCATTGGCACTGCAAAAGGCATAGATTTCCTTTTCCTGTTCAACCACTGGCGAAGATTTGTTGCACAAGTGTTGCAGCATATGTGTGGGGCCCACCTCTTGTCCTGATCTCCAATTTTGCAGCCAAAATAAAGGTGATAGGCTTTCTTAACCATAGTGGTTATGCTGCGCTTTTGTGATGCAAAAGTCACTTCACCACAAACATAGCAGAAGTTATCTGCACTGTTCACACAAGTACGAGGCATCTCTGCTCACTTTGGCTAAACAGAAATGTGTCCCTTTGCAAAATCAAACACTGACAAATAAGACAGCACGATACTGTATGATTTCTAGAGCTGATATAAGGCAATTTGTTCAGCAGAGTGATGTAAGCTTCGTTATGATTGCATCATCCATGACTTCTAGGAATAACATGATGCAATTCATATAATGTATGACGCAATACCAGCTTCAGATTGCATCGTTCATTGTTTTGCCTAAAAAGCAAGTACTGTCCAAACCCAGTCATAGATTTATTCATAGATCCAGTCAAAGATGTATTTTAATCATTTCTGGTTTAAATTGAGAACTTTATAACTCACTTATCCTCCGCCATTTGCAACTCAAGGGTCGTATATACTGACCCAATAGCATATCTTGAAAACTAGAGCCAATCAACAATTTTAAGCATCATTTTCATTCTCAGTGACCCAGAATTAGTAGAATTTGACAACACTTATTTCAGAAGCATTTTGGCTGTAGAGCAGTGTTTGCAGTCCTATGCACGGGCAGTATAATGTTTGGCTGGATGGGAAGAAACAAGATATAATTTGCCTTCTAACAAACCTGTAAAAGCTGCCTCGCATATGCTACCACAGCTTTGGATTAGCTCTATGTTCATGGTAAAATTCAACTATGTCTGAGGCAGGAGCAGAGGCAAGGAAGTGCTGTGGCACTAGATCTAGGTATCTGAAACCACTACACTGATAAATACCCAATCTACAAGATATAAAGAAGGAAGAAGGGTAAAAGATGAATAAAAATGAATCTGGCAAAGAAGATGGTCAAGAGCAATGCAAACCTGTCACTAGCTCCTGGTGAAGAAATTGAAGTTTGCTATCAAGATGGATAAAGGGGTATGGCTAGCAGAGGCTGTTCTACAAAATTATTGAGGAGGAGGATCAGCCTATTCTTAATATTGTGGGAGATGCTGGCCTGCAGAAGAAAGCATGTATCTTAATATTTAAAATTTTCCATCTGAATTTCTAGGTATTTAAAATTACTCTACTATCTTACATACAATCACATTTTCACTGAAATGTAAATAAAATAATAGATCACGTAGTGATGCAACCAATCTAAACAAGAAAAGCATCAGTCCTTAACAATGCTCCTTAATTTTTAACTCTTATACAGTAGTGCTACATGCTACAAACTTTGAACCGAACTGGTCTGGTTTGTTCTGCTTCAAGGTGAAAGGTTGTTAATCAACTTTTTGGTAGCTCCCTCTCAAACAAGACTTCCACTTTAAAAATTACAAACTTCTGAAACTCACTATGGCTACATGCTCTGAGGGGCCAAAAGTAAAGCTAATCAGAGGATAGTGGGCATAAATTGAAATACAGTACAACTCCAATTGTCCGGCATCCAATTGTACGGCACTCCCAGTAGTCCAGCATCAAAATGACAAGAGTCTAGTGAGTGAGCTTCAGCAAAAAAATGAGTCACAAGGCAGCAGCGGCAGCAGCTGAGCCGAGCAGAACCGGACAGGACCAAGTCAGTCTGCCACTGGCATTGTGTGACGCTGGACAGTGCTTGTGCTACAATAAAAAGGGTTAAAAACACTTTATGTACAGTATATACTGTCTTTGTGTGAGCGCACGCGCACGTATATAAAAAAACAACTTATAGTACCTCCTGGTAGTCCGGCATATCTGATAATCCGGCACCACCATCGGAAGTCTACTGTAGTACACTGCAGTATTCACTTCTCTTGAAGCATTAAGTGCAGACATAATGAAATGAGACTTTACTCCATTAGTATTTCATAAATAATACATTATCTTAAACTTTTTAGCCCAAAAGTATTCATACTGTACCTGAATTGGATAAGTTCTTTGAATAACTATATCAATACACCCAACAGTGCCGCCTTCACCGAAAAGTGATGACAACGGTAAAGGAAAAGGTCTGGGATCCTGATGAAATCCTAGTTTGGCATGCCACCGAGCGCGTCGAGTGCTGTTAGCTGAAATCTGAATACATTAAGTGTTTTTAAAGGAAAGTGCCAGATGAACCAAAAGGATCAGTAAGTTACTGCATTTAGGGGGAAAATTCTCCATCTGAAATATTACCTGTGAAACTGAATGTACTAAAACATAACAGGGGTTTTTCAACTTTTTTATAGCGTGAACCACATTTGAATAGACAGATAGGCAAACTGATGGCCTGATGTATTTTAGAGATTACCAAGTATCCATGAGACCTAACAGCCTTATTCATACCAAAATAGAACGCTCCTAAAACAAAAATATTGTGTACAATGCCTCATACCCCCAAAATAACTTGTCCCAAATTCTCCTCTTTCAATATCCTTTCCCAAAACCTACTTTTGTCCCCATGCTAATATTTCACATTCTTGAGCAATTTAGTAATAAATTTTAAAAAGCATTTAAAGAACACAATGTCAAAACATAGTAACTCAATATAACTTTGCACTATAAAAACGTTCCTTCCTTTCATACCTCTCCTATAACGCCCTCTATCCCTATGTCATGTCAACTTTTCAACCCCGTCAAATATAGACTACAAATTCTTTGTGATAGAGAACATATTTTTTATCTGTCTGTACAGCACCATCAACATCCATGGCATCACCACCACCCTCCAAATGCATATCTAATCAAATTAAAGTAATGCTTGATTTCACCTTTAACATAAGAGAGTCTGGAATTTCTAGTGGTGTGCACGCATCTTGAGAGCCCACAAGTTCTGCTCCATGTACTATTATCTTCTGACCAACAGTCAGCCTTCTTCCATGCAAGAGTGCTTGGAGAGGAGGGTCCAAAAGAGCCCTAATACAGTACCATCCATCTGTAACTTCAATTATTGCGGCTTCTTTTTTGTTTTCCACAATGGTTTTATTACTACAGACATCAGGCATGTTTGCATTTAACAGTATGATTTTAGAAACACACAGTATGAGCGTTTTTGCAGGTGTATCGTCTCTCTCCACTATCTTTTTGATAGCTGATCGCTGACTTTTATCAATTTCCAAATCATATCTACCAAAAAAAGGAACATTACATTCACAATATACTTGAAAATATACAATCTAAAATATTTTCTTTTAAATTAACAGTGCTGAACTCTAACTAACCAATCTATACCATCAAGCACTGCTGGCAAAAATTGGAATTGTTTGCAAATATCTAAACTATTTTAAGTTTCAAAGAATGAAGCATTCAAATTAATAAACATGAAATTGACATGTAACAAAATTCACACAATTTACAGCACAGAAAAACCTTGAATATATTGCTATACACTCACCTGTATTTTAACTGAAATAGCACCCTTTCTGGTGTCAAACACCTATTAGCAAATTCCTGTGGAAATGAGACTTCCATAGCTGCTAGTTTCCATACAATCCATCTGTAGTGGTTGTAGACCCAGGCTTCAGTAATTAGCTTTGGATCCACACCAGGTGTATCACACAGGGCCCTGCACACAAATTGTTATGTTAAACTTAACTTCAATTTTAAGTTTTTCAAATATGTATTTTCACAAATATTTTAATCTTTTGTACAGGTTGGACCTCCTTGGTCTGGCACTCTTGGGACCTGACCCAGTCCCAAACTAGGTAACTTCCTAGACAGGGACACCATCCCCTTCCTGGCTTGCTGCCCCTCCCCGCCACCAGCTCTAGCTGGTACCCCTGACAACAACCCCAGTCAGGCTGCCTGCCAGCTGACCTTACTCCCACTACGTGTGACAGAGTCCCAGCTCCGCTGCCAAGCTTCTCTGGTTCCACCCACTGTGTGGCCCTACCCAGACTCTGCTAGCACCAGCTCTGCTGGGTTCCTCTTGCTCCGGGCACTCTCATCCAGGAACATCCATGGTCTGATGTCAGACCAGTATCCTGGTTTAGGAAGGTGCAACCTGAATTAGTATTTTGGTACTTGGTAGAGAAATACATGTAAAGGTACATGCATTGGAAGACAGCTGATTTTACTATATCCTATTTATTGAGGAAATCAGAAATGGGTATTGAATAAGAAAATATACTTGTTGGCAAGTAAAATACTTTTGAATCTTTCTAGAAAGACTTTTAATCTATCAGAATAATCAGCAAGCTTCCAGGCTCCATGAGTCTTAAAAACCCAAAAATGTGTTATTGATTTTAAAACAGATTGTACCTTGGATGTTCCTAGACCACAGAGCCAAAGTATAGGGAGGTCAGGTTGTGGGGCTGGAGCGGCAGGAGGCCGGTGACTCAGCTGGAAGTTCCGGCCCCTGTGGCTGGGCTGTAGTGGAGGGCTGGCAGTGGCAGCCATGGAGCTCCAGCCTTGACCCTGTGGCTCCAGCGGTCTCTGAGCTCTGGCAGCCATGGTGCTCCAGTCCTGGCGGCAGTTGCAAAGCTACAGCTTGGGGAGCCACAGCTGGGCAGGCAGCAGGGGGCCCAGGCTAAAGCTCTAGCCAGGGGCAGCAGGGCAGCATGGACCATGTTGGGAGGGACCTCCCCATGTGCAGCAAATCCCCTCATTCAGGACCAGAGAGGTTCCAAGAGTTCTGGACAAGCGATGTCCAACCTGTATAAGTCAACCTGCTATATTCCTATTTACACATTGCCGCAGTGGGCAAATGGACAGATAACCCATTAATGAACATATTAAACCTCACATAAATACAAAGACTTAAAATATTCTGATGTTTAAATGACATAAAATGTGCATTAACGACCTGTAGTAAGAGGACAGATATCATTTTATAAACAGACAATAATATTATGAAGTAATATAGGAATATTTATTTCCTCAAACACAAACAAACCTGTAAAATTCTTCTTTCCCTGCCATTCCCTTATCGGTAGGTATAAGCCATCCTCCATCAGCAAGTTGTATTCCACGTTCAGCCACTAAATACTCCTTACTGAAAAAATCCAGGATGAGAAACTGGAAAGATTCTGCATTTATGCTGTTAACTTTTATGCAGTCCTTCGAAACTCCATACATGTACAGCTGTAAATGATCAGGTGAGAGACAGCAAAGTAAGAAAAACTATCCAATACAATGAACACTTCATCAATGAGAAAGTTTTCTTGTTAAACACAGAGCTATTGCAAAACACCTGTAAATGTGTGCAGTGCTCTACAACCAGGAAAATCTAATATGTACTCCAAGAAGAGTGGAGGAACTCCTGACAATATAAACTGGAAGTTTAAATTACACAAATTCAAATTAGAAACAAGGTGCAAATATGTCACATGTCAAGTGATGGTAATTAATATTGAAACAACGTACTGAAGACTGAGGTGGAATCTTCATCACCTTCCATTTTAAAATCAAGGTTGGAAATTTTTCTAAAAATATGGTCTGGACAAAACAGGAATTAATTCAGAGAAGCCATAGGGTCCATATTATAGAGAAAGTCAAACTAGATTTTCATCATGGCCCCTTCTATTTTTATCATCTAAAATGTTCACTTATCAAACATTCTCAACAAAATTTGTATAACCAGTATAAATCCTCAATTAGCATTAAAAGATTTTATGTAGATATTGTTATATTGTTGAATTGGGCCCTTTTGTCCTATGTTTACAAACAAGATGAACATAAACATTAAAGAGTAAAACATTACAAACAAAACAAACTGTCTAAACAAAGAACCTAAAGCTCATTTAAAAGATTATTTTTCCTCTATTATAATATCAACCATGTCATTTTAGCTAGAAAAACAAGATGTTAAACATAAGAAAGTGAAATAAAACCTGTACCCAATTTGCTACAGGTTGAACCTCTCTAATCTGGCAACATCCGTGATCTGGAATGATTTTAGTTAGCTAGATATCCCCTTAGCATGGGTGTGCCAAGCTTCCCGCAATCCCATAAAGATTGTTTACAGCCACCATTCCTAGCTCTGTGTCCTGTGCTGTTATTTAGCTCTAATTTACTGCTAAATGTCTTCTAAGAGCCCAGTAAGCAGAAGTAGTGTTGGTAATACTACTACTAGTGACCTCCCATGGTTCAGCAAATTATCTGATTCAGTATCAGTCAAGTCCTGAGAGTGCTGGAATAGACAGGCTCAATCTGTACATTCATACCTAAGAGACCATCAATTGCATTCATAAATGTCAACTATTAGGTATTATCAGGCTTTTCAAGTTACACATTTCCTAAAGCTATCAATTCCCTAAGAAAGTCAAATATGTTACACTCACTGAAGGCTATAAGAAAGCCTCAGGTTTTATAAAAGTGATGTCACACATATGAATGACAAAAACAACACCCCCACACACACCCCAAACAAGCCAAAACAAACAGCACAGTCAATCAGTACAGTAGCCAACAATCAGATTCTGCTCCTTTGCTCTGCTGGGAACAAGAAGCTTCTGATATCAGCTTGGCTCCAAGGTAACAGAAAAGAGGAAAAATCACTAGTAGGATCTCAGGAGAAACCAGAACACATTATAAAAGAGGCTGAAATTGCATTTTAGAATTAACTATTGTGGGTTAAGAGCCATCATTATATCTCACTGGTGGATTTACAGACCCTAACTTCACTGTTCTAATTTGCTCTACTCTTGTTTTGTAATAGAATTTTTAAGGATCACAGAGCACAAGAGTTTCTTAAAACTAAAATAATTTCATGTTCTAGTTATTTTTATTATGATTACAATCTTAGTGAATATACTGCTGTAATATTTAGCTATCAAATCCAAGGAGACCTATATTTCACATAAATACACATTTAAAATTAGCTAATCCTTGTAAAGTATACAGAATACAAAAACCATCCACCTGTTCCATGGAGTAAGTACTAGGAGTTTTTTCTTCTACAGCAGCTTTAAGAGAGATCCTTTTTGCTGCAGATGTTTTCATGAGATAAAGATTGCCTGGCTGTGGATGAATATTTTGCCTTTGTTTCTTTCTAATTCTCATCTCTTGCAAATTTCTGACATAGTGAAGGTTTGCAATCATTTCCATCAAATCTGCTTGGGGAAAAACACATCGAATCCTGTTTCACATGTGTTTATATAAGGATTATCAACTCATTTCAATAAAAAAATTAATTCCCTTATGCATCTTGGAAAATGCTGGCTATGAGTATTTGGCAGGATTGGAACTAAATTTTAACATTAAAAAAATGTATGTATGTATGTATAAATAAACATACTCCAAGTGACCATTTTACACCATACTTAGAATGCTGTATCTTAAACAATATAATAACCAAGTATTGCATGAAATTCAAATAGCTTTCACACAACTTATTTTCCAAGAACTGCTGTCCAAAAACACAGCAAGTCATTGACTTTCAAAATGTACATAGCAATGAAAATGCAGCATTATGAATATAATAGATCAAATATTGAAAAAATATTTTTACTTTTTAAATGTCTATTCCTTATTACATATAAGCTTATAAATAAAAGCAATAAGCTCAATAATATACAAAAAGTTTCAAAGTTATATTCAATTATTGCTCACAACAGATAAATGTTCAAAAATGTTTGCCTGAAAATACCTGAATCACCATCCACATTATTTCTTAAATTACATGGTGCAACTTGTTTGGTGTAATCTTTCTCCTGTGACTGAACTTCAGTCTCACTAGTACTTTGTTGCATTGTGATATCTTTTAGTTCCTTATCTCTATTCATAGTTGTGTTAATCAATGAGTCAAGTCTTTTGCTGACATGATGCTGATGCGTGGAAATAGCTGACTTAACTTTGAAAGGTGGCACAAAAGTTTTGGCAGTTTTGCTCAATAAAGGTAGATTTTTTCTTTTCTCACTTTCTTCGGTGGAAATCTTTTTAAATGGAGTAAAAAAACCTGATGAACCACTTAAAGACTGTCTTAACAGATGATGCTGAAAAACATCAGATTTAGGTTTATATCCTTTAAAATCCTGGTCCAGTACAGTAATATTGGGATTCTTGATTTCTTGTCGTTCTTTAGTAGCACTGTGTAGAGAAAAATATTGAACATAATAATTGAGCTTCATTATCACTAAATAATCATACAAAACGTAACACGTAGTTTGTCATTCCATATAATTTTCTCTCAATCTAGTGGCCTCCTTTTTAGTCAACAACTTTCAACTACAGCCACATGAAACAGTTCTTAGAACTAGCTCACATATTAATACTTCAAAGAAATAAGGTTAATCTAATATAACATTTTATATAAATGAAAAAATAAAATCTGAACCCAGATAATATTGTAGTGTTTTTATGTTAAGGCAAAAAATTAAGATTATGTTTCAGTACAATTTGAATTGAAATTGATTAGGATTTTGTAGACAATTGTGTAGCAAATTATTATAGTCAGAGTAATATCAGCCCACAAGAACATATTAATCCCATATTCTGTTAAGCAACTCTTTAGAAATAAATCTTAAATTATACAACAAATTTCTCTCACCTAAAAGGAACACAAGTTTCAGGTTTTAAAGGAATATGGTACATAAACTTTCTTCTGTCTTTGATCATGCCTAAAAATAAAATATACACAAATCAATTTAGTGAATGAACAGGATTTTCCAATGTTATTTTTAAGGAAAAGAATTCATTTCATATATAATTCTTGCTTTTAAGAGACTTATGGTTAGGTTTCCTAATCCACTAGTGAGTGAAAAGTAATGTTGTGCTGATGAGTTCAGATATGCTTTCCAGATCCAAAATCGGAGCTACTATTACAGTGAGAGCAGTTCTTATTAAATCTCCCTTGTGTAACAGCGATGCTAAAAACCACATACAGAAAAAGGCAGAAGTCTCCTTCAATATTTTTTCCCAGCAACAAAGCATCCTTTGGCATAGATCTGAGTGTCAATATTTGTCCCAGGGGTCCACAAGCATTCTTTCTGACCCAAAATTTAAGCCCTGCTGTATTTCAAATTAACTCAGTAGTCAATAGCTTAGAAATTTCATATCTCAGTTCTTTAGACTCAGAGGAATAGAATTATAGGGTTGGAAGGGATCTTGAGAGGTCAAGGCAGAACTAAGTTTTGGGGAGGGGAGTAAACTCCGGCCAGCGGGCCAGATCCAGGGAGGGGAGCAAACTCTGGCCAGTGGGCCAGATTTGGCCTGTCAGACCCTTCAGTTCAGTCCCGTAAGCACCTGCCAGGGAGCAGAGTTAAGACAGCCCAACCCCCAGGAAGCATTGTGAGCCTCCAGTCCCACGGCTTATACTGTCCCATCTCCTGCAGCCTTTGCTCCCCCACTGCCTGGGTGGCATGATTTCCATGCTTCCAGCCCCAGTGCTCTGGGAAGCATGGTCAGAGAGCAGTGAGGGGATTCAATAGCGGGCAGGAGCCGGTCACACTTGGTTGTTTGGAGAGGCACAACCTCCCTTACCTGGCTCTCCATACAATTTCCATACTCAATGTGGCCCTCAGACCAAAAAGTTTACCCATCCCTGATTTAGATAATTTCAGACAAATGTTTGTCTAACCTATCCTTAAAAATCTCCAATAGTAGAGATTCCAGAACCTCCCTAGGCAATTTATTCCAGTGCTTACTCACCCCGACAGGAAATTTTTCCTAACCACCCTGACAGGAAATTTTTCCTAATGTCCATCATAAACCTTACTTACTAAAATTTAAACCCTTTGCTTCTTGCCCTATCATCTGAGGTGAAGGAGGGCAATTTTTCCTCCCTCTTCCTTTTAACAGCTATTTATATACATGAAAACCGTTATGTCCCCTCTCAGTCTTCTCTTTTCCAAACTAAGCAAACACAGTTCTTTCAATCTTCCTTTGTAGCTCATATTTTCCAGATATTTAATAATTTTTATTGCTCTACTCTTGACTTTCTCCAATTTGTCCTCATCTTTCCTGAAATGTGGTACCCAGAACTTGACATAATACTTGAGGCCTAATCAGCTCAGAGAAGAGCAGAAATATTACTTCTCATGCCTTACTTACAACACACCTGCTCATCATTCTGAGATATATTTTTGCTTTTTTTCCAACTGCGTTACCGTGTTGGCGCCTATTTAGCTTGTAGCCTGCTATGACTCCCAGATCTCTTTCCACAGTACTCCTTCCTAGGCAGTCATTTCCCATTTTGTATGTATGCAACTGATTTGTCCTTTCTAAGAGGAGTACTTTGCATTTGTCATTATTGAATTTCATCCTATTTACCTCAGACCATCTCTCCAGTTTTGAATTATCACCCTATCCTCCAAAACACTTGCACCCATTTCATCTTGATATCATTTGCAAGTTTTATAAGTGTACTTTCTATGTCATTTTATCTAAATCATTGATGAATATATTGAACAGAAACAGACCAAGAACTGATCCCTGTGGGATCTCACTCATTATGCCCTTCCAGCAAAACTGTGAATCATCAATAACTACTCTGGGAATGGTTTTCTAACCAGTTTTGCACCCACCTTACAGTAGCTCCATCTAAATTCAATTTCCCTAGTTTGTTTATGAGAAGATCATGTGAGACAGTATCAAAAGCTTTACTAAAGACAAGAAATATCATGTCTACCACTTCCTCCCTATCCTCAAGTTTTGTTACGCTGTCAAAGAAAGCTATTGGGTTGGTTTGACAAGATTTGTTCTTGACAAATCTATGCTGATTGCTACTTATCACCTTATCTTCTAGATGTTTTTAAAATGATTACTAAATTATTTGATTCATTATCTTTTTGGGTACAGAAGTTTAGCTGACTGGTTTGTAATCCCCCAGGTTTTCTCATTTCCCTTTTTATAGATTGGCATTATATATGCCCTTTTCCAATCTTCTGGAATTTCTTCCATTTTCCATGACTTGTCAAAGATAATTGCTATATGGCTGAGATATATCCTCACTAAACTCCTTGTGAGAATACGTCTTAGAGTAATTAGTTTTTGGCTTTTGGTCAATTTTATAGCTGTTCTATTTCAAACGAATGGTACCAAAGAAATCCTACATCCTTTTTAACATTTACATGTAGACATTGGAGGAGAAGCAAACTGGGGGTGACCACAATATCTCATCAGCCTTATGCAGATAACCCTGGTTTTGCTTGCAGTGAAGGAGGCATAATTAGCATCATCTCCCAAATATCAGTTTGTGGCTGTAAAGCACCTGGATTAAAGATAACTGGCAGAAGCTCAATCAAGACAGGATGGAAAGCAGAATGTGTAAAATGCTTCCAAGAGCTATCTGTTGCTATCACATCACCTTCTACTAAAGAAGTCTGCTTCCAGGTTTTCCATGGTGTAATAACCAACTATTTTTACACACTCCTCAGTCATCATAGAATAGAATCAGACAATACTAGAACTGGAAGGGACCTTGAAAGGTAATGGAGTCCAGTCCCCTGCCCTCACAGCAGGACCAAACACCGTCTAGACCATCCCTGATAGATGTGTATCTAACCATGTTAAATATCCCCAGAGATGGAGATTCCACAGCCTTCCTAACCAATTTATTCTAGTGTTTAACCACCCTGACAGTTAGGAAGTTTTTCCTAATGTCCCACCTAAACCGCCCTTGCTGTAATTTAAGCCCATTGCCAAGGCGAACAATTTTTCTCCCTCCTCCTTGTAAAACACCCTTTTAGATACTTGAAAGCTGTTGTCATGTCCTCTCTCAGTCTTTTCTTTTCTAAACTAAACAAACCCAATTTTTCACTGTTCCCTCATAAATCATATTTTCTAGACTTTTAATCATTTTTGTTGCTGTTCTCTGGACCAACTTCTCCACATCTTTCTTGAAATGTAGTGCCCAGAACTGGACACAATACTCCAAATGAGGCCTAATAGAGAGGAAGAATGACTTCTTGTGTCTTGCTCACAACACAGCTGTTAATGTATCCCAGAATCATGTTTGCTTTTTTTGCAACAGTGTCACACTGTTGACTCATATGTAGCTTGTGGTCCATTATGACCCCTACATCCCCTTCTGCAGCACTCCTTCCTAGATAGTCACTTCCCATTCTGTATGTGTGAAACTGATTGTTCCTTCCTAAATGGAATACTTTGCATTTGACTTTATTAAACTTCATCCTATTTACCATTTCTCTCAGACCATTTCTCCAGATCACTTTGAATTATGACCCTATCTCTCCAAAGCACTTGCAACCCCTCACAATTTGGTATCATCTCCAAACTTAATAAGCTTACTCTCTATGCCAATATCTAAATTGTTGATCAAGACATTGAACAGAACTGGTCCCAAAAACAGACACCTGTGGAACCCTACTTGTTATGCCCTTCCAGCATGACTGTGAACCATTAATAACTACTCTCTGAGAGTGGATATCCAGACAGTTAAGCACCCATTTTACAGTAGCCCCATTTAGGTTGTATTTCCTTAGTTTATTGATAAGATGGTCACATGAGACCATATCAAATGCTTTACTAAAGTCTAGGTATACCACGTCCACCGCTTCCCCTTTATCCACAAGACTTGTTATCTTATCGAAGAAAGCTATCAGATTGGTTTGACATGATTTGTTCTTTACAAATCCTTGCCGGCTGTTACCTATCACCTTATTTTCCTCCAGATGTTTGCAGATGAATTTCTTAATTACTTGCTCCATTATCTTCCCTGGCACAGAAGTTAAACTGGCTGGTCGGTAGTTTCCTGGGTTGTTCTTATATCCCTTTTTATAGATGGGCACTATATTTGCCCTTTTCCAGTCTTCTAGAATCTCTCGATTTCCATGATTTTTCAAAGATGATAGCTAAAGGCTCAGATACCTCCTCTATCAGCTCCTGGAGTATTCTAGGATGCAATTCATTGGGCCCTCGTGACTTGAAGACACCTAACTTTTTAAAGCAATTTTTAACTTCTAAGCCTACCCCATTTCTGCTAGCATTCATGACATCAGGTATCCTGTCACCATAAATTTTCTTGACGAAAACCGAAACAAAGAAGTCATTAAACACCTCTGCCATTTTCAACTTTCCTGTTATTATTTGTCCTTCTTTACTGAACAATGGGCCTACCCTGTCCTTGGTCTTCCTAACTTCTAATATATGTGTAGAATGTCTTGTTACCCTTTATGTCTCTAGCTAAATTGAGCTCATTCTGTGTCTTTGCTTTTCTAATTTTGCCCCTGCATATTTACATTATTTACTTATATTCATCCTTTGTAATGTGACCTAGTTTCCACTTTTTATATGACTCCTTTTTATTTTTAGATCATGTAAGATGTCCTGGTTAAGAGAAGGAGGTCTCTTGCCATTCTTCCTATCTTTCCTACGCAGCAGAATAGCTTGCTTTTGGACCCTTTGAAAAACAGCCAGCTCTCTTCAGTTTTTTCACTTAGTCTTGTTTCCCATGGGACCTTACCTACCAGCTCTCTGAGTTTACTAAAATCTGCCTAACTGAAATCCACTGTCTCTATTTTGCTGTTCTCTCTTCTACCATTCCTTAGAATCATTAACTGTATGATTTCATGATCACTTTCACCCAAGCTGCCTTCCGCTTTCAAAATTTCAACAAGTTCCTCCCCATTTGTTAAAATGAAATCTAGAACAACTTCCCCCAGTAGCTCTCTCAACCTTCTAAAATAAAAAATTGTCTCCAATGCAATCCAAGACCTTAATGGATAATCTGTGCCCTACTGTGTTACTTTCCCAACATATATCTGGATAGCTGAAGTCCCCAATCACCACCAAATCCTGCGCTTTTGATGATTTTGTGAGTAATTAAAAAAAGCCTCATCCACCTCTTCTGCCTGGGAAGGTGGTCTGTAGCAGACCCCCTAGCATGACATTACCCTTGTTTTTAACCTCTTTTAACATAACCCAGAAACTCTCAACAAGTCTGTCTCTAATTTCCATCTCAACCTCAGTCCAAGTATATTCATTTTTAATATACAAGGCAACACTTCCTCCCTTTTCCCCCCTGCCTTTCCTTCCTGAGCAAGCTGCGCCCTTCAATACCAATACTCCAATCGTGTGTATTATCCCACCAAGTCTCTGAGACACCAACTATGTCATAGTTGTGTTTGTTTATTAGCACGTCAAGTTCTTTCTGCTTATTTCCCATACTTCTTGCATTTGTATACAGGTATCCTAACATTTCAAGTGCCACTCCGATGACTGCCTTTTCCCATCTATTAAATACTATCAAGTTGTGAGATGCCAGTTCATCAATGTGGCAATGCTTTTGTGATAAAAGATCAGTTAGTTCAATCAGTTAGCAGCTGCCCTTTTTGCTAATGCCAGGTGCCAAAAGCACATGACCCCAGTGCTCTGGTCACTACACTGACTCCCCACAAAATATGAGGTCAGGATTAAATTCGTGGACCCATTCTTCAAGGCCCTCCATAAAAATGTCTAAAGCTATCTAAAACAGGTACTCTTTAGCATGTTAAGATCTTTCTGCAGCTATGTTCCTCAAAGACTATTAGTATTACCATGTTTTAGTTCACCCCTCCAAATTTTTATATAGAATATAAAATGTTACATAAAAATGCACCTATTGGTAAGGTATCCTCATCTTACTGAAATTGCAGTTTGAATCTAAGTAAGATTTTGAGGTATTTGATGTATGCACTGTGGATGATTGTATGTTGGAAGTGAACGATTTTTTTTACAGAGGTGAACTGTGATTATATTTCAGTATTATATCTGTGTGGTAAGGCATCTGATTTCAGGTTAGTACAGATGTTAATATTGCTTAAAGGGTGATTACCTTGATTCTTCATGAGTGCGATGATAGAAAAAGCACTTAAGCAATCCTAATTCATTAATTTTTTATACTCATTTATTCAGAAAAAAAATATAAATTGCACTTGATATGAAAACTTACTGTAATTTCAGTATTATATCTGTGTGGTAAGGCATCTGATTTCAGGTTAGTACAGATGTTAATATTGCTTAAAGGGTGATTACCTTGATTCTTCATGAGTGCGATGATAGAAAAAGCACTTAAGCAATCCTAATTCATTAATTTTTTATACTCATTTATTCAGAAAAAAAATATAAATTGCACTTGATATGAAAACTTACTGTA